CTATAAGGCGAGGAGAAAACGTTTCCAATATAAGTTATCTGAAATGAAATTGCAGCGCACCAACATAAAGGGAATGTGACGTGGGACAGATATTTTTACTCTCTATTTTTTTTGTCATTGTTTTAGTTCTTCTTTGCCTTTGTATTGTTGTTTTTCGTGCGAGGCTGAAGAACAGACGTGTGTTTCACAAGATGACAAAATTGAAACTTCAGCGCCCCAATGTGAGTGCCAATGTGGGCATTAATTTTGGTAAATGAAATGACATTACAGACACTTATCAATTGTGTCTTTTAAAAGTAAATGATGCCACATGAATACAGAAGACATTTACATCAATTAGAAAATCTGTCTGATTAAAATTCGTGAAGGGGAAGTCAACGACGCGACGATACACGGGCTGACACACAGCACCCTACCACCCTTACATGCGACCATCAGGGACCCTTCGAAGTGTCCGGTGCCACTCAGCGTCTGCGGGGCTGCACTGCACCTAACCTCACCTGCCGCAGAGGGAACGCCTGCCCCGTCCCCACTCTCTGTGTGTCCTGTGGACAACATTGCCCTTCGTCTCCCGCCCCCGTTCGCCATTAGAACTCCCCTGAACGCTATTTCGCCCCGTTGGCCCGACGCTTTCTTTAACTTCCAAATTGCTTTTGGCGTGCCCCCCTCCCCCTTTCCCCTCCCCTTTCCCCCCGACCCAACGGCCCTGCGTCGCTTCTGCCCTCCCTTCTCTCTGTTTGCTTTTCGCTCCGTTTAAGTTCTGGTCGCCCGCCTGCCGTATCTCAGGGCTGGACCCCACAGGGATGTCGTAGAGGCGCTCAGCGTACAAAGAAGTTCCAGGACCGTATTTGCAAAGTATACTGGGCGAGTATAGTTACACTTTTCAATATGTGTAACCCCAACAACATATAAAAGGATTAAAGGTACTTCCGAAAACTACTAATCTTCCTGCCTGATGCCCTGCATATTCCTTCAAAAATAGGTTGCACCATTAACCACCACCAACCTCCACATTTCCGCTCTAGTTCCAGGTCAAATCCATTCCCAAATACTGAAAGACCTACAATATTAAGCGTATAATCATGCAAGTTAATACTCGAGTATTTATCACAGCTTTATAACTAGAAACAAGAAATGATATTTCTGGATGCAGGAGTCGATATCACCAAACTCTTGTGCATGTAATTGCGTTCTACAAGAGGGCGAGTGGTAGTGCTAGTGAGAAGCATGTTCCAGTGGTTTTGCGAGCGCGGCACTCCAGGTCTCCAAGACAAAGCACTTGATTTCTCGCTCGAGACCGCTTTCAGTACGCAACGAAAAATCACAAATACATTACAAGCAACTCGACTCAGCACAGTGCAAAAAGAGAAAGCATTTTTTTTTACCTAGCGATGACCTGGTAATCGTGTTCATCACCAAGTAAAATAAAATTAAGACAAGTATGAACTTTAAAAAAGATAATCAAATTAACAATATAAAATTCAAACATAAGGTTTCTACTTGTGGCGGAAAAACAATCGAGAAGCAAAATCGTAATTTCGCAAAATACGCAACAAGCAAAGTACTTAATATCCTAGTCACGAGTCACGAGGCAGCAAACGTAAGATAATTGCGCTCTAGCTATGTGATCACAGGAAAAATAAAGGAAGGCCTTAGCACCTATTTTTCAAGGTGTTACTGAATTTATCACGGTTTTTATATAAATATAAAATTTAGAACAATAAGAGAGGCGTAAATGACCCACCTGGGTCCTAAATTTTAGAATCCTTGGGTATCAAAGAGCCGTTTACCTTTTATTTTCCGGTAGTTATCAATATTTTTAATGCGGAAACGTGGAGGAAGACAATCAAAACATTCACTTACCGAGTATAGGTCAAATCAGTGCTGACTGCTTGGATCCGGGGCTCCCATCACCTGCAACATACCATTGGCCGTTTTAAACACGAAGCAGTTCTGCGCCTCCTAACCTCACTCTGTTCCTCCCTCCGCTCACCAAGAGGGCCGGTGCGCTTGCTGTCCTCACGCCAGCCGACGACTGAGGCGCAAAGGTGACTGAGTGAGGGATTGGGTTGACGCTACTGCCAGAGCACACCGGTCGCCAGGTGCTGCAGTTGGACCCCCAATATGCATGTGAATGGCGAGGAGCAGCGGTAAACGGGGCGAGAGGTCCAATCACCTCAATGGGACACAAAGTGCAGCGGCCTCAGCTTTACGACTCGGCCTCTCTCACCCCCACCCGCCCGAGGAACAGAGATAAAGGGACACCGCTCAGGTGACGCAAAAAAAAAAAAAAAAAAAAAAAGTTTTCTGAGTCCACAGGTATTGCATTCAACTAGTCGTAAACTCTGCTCAAAAAGATTTGTCCGACAATTCGGTTACATGATACTGGCAAAACGATGCGCCAAATCCTTGTTTGATTCTTCGAGTTCACATCGACACGAACATAAACGTCACATCTGCAACGTACTGCTAGCCATTGCCTTAGTGGCCGCAGCAGGCTTTCAAGCTTTTCTGCTCTAGTGTTGCCCGCGGACTGTAGCGTAGCTGCCAACGAGGTGGGTGCAAACGTCTCTCAACCAAAAGTCAACACTGCAAAAAAATTTGACAGGTAATGCGGCTACTTCATTTTCCAGAAACGTCTGTTATTCGAATAGCAGCATCGCTGTAGTTTTGATGGTTAAAATTTGGTACAGGGAGCAATGTACAGGACCACTGTACAGGCAAAAGCGAACAAAACTGTCTACAGTGGAGCCGTCTTCGTACACTGTACCGTGTAAAACCTAGGCTTTCCGGTGCTACAGCAATACTGTGCTCCGCGTTCTGTACCCTAGGTGCAGTGGCTCAGAGCGGCATCTACAGTAACGCTGTAGATCGTTCCGTATCAGACTCTAATTTTTTGCAGTGAAAGTGAGCTTAGCATGCACGCTGACGCGGTAATATTAGTGTGCCCACAGTTCTGAGCGGTGCTAGAACACATTAAAATTTTACTTGTCAGCGCAAGCGGTGGAGGTGGGCTACGCGGGTGCTGCACCTCAGCGCCGTGGAGGTAGGCCACCCATTCAACAACCCCAGTGAGCCCACATGGCTAGCGGCTAGGGCTGACAAAGAAAACACAGACCACACCTTATTTTACCGACAATTTTTATTTACAGAAATCATTACCCAGTTTTCTGCGCAGATATGAAGTTCTACCCGCGCCAGTATTTTATTTGTTCCGAGTAGCCCACCGTTTTCCCCAAAGATGCACACGCCAACACGTTTATAGCCCGTAAACAAGCGGTGCCATTCAGCGCAAGGGCGATCCTTGGCACTGACACTTTCACTCGGGTTCCCTCACAAGCCAGAGGTCGCTTTATTGTCAGCCATCGTGTCAACAGAAAGGCTTGACCGTTTTTTCCCTCCCTTTTCATCTGCCGCTACAGGACCGTCACGTCATTGCCGCCCGCAACTGCCGTCGCAACGGCAGGTCAAGCCTTTTGTGCTTTCGAGCGGATGTCCTTTTCTCTTCGTTAGTTTCACTCCTTCTCTCGGTTTGTTTTCGTGTTTTGCCTCGAATGGGGTTGTTGGGACAAGATGACTAGTTCAGTCAGTCGCTCGGAACCGAACGCGTCGGACGTACCTCGCGAGATCTCCGCAGGTTCCGCGGAGATGCGCGTTACAGTTTTCGCCTTTCCCCTGCAGCTGGGGCGCCGTCGCGAGTCGTGCGTGTACGGAGACGATACCCCACCAGGCGGCATAGTCAGTTTGTCGCATTCAGACCCGGCGAGCTATATAGGTCCCTAACTGTCTAGAAAATTCTGTACCATATTGGCACCTGAAAAGTCAGGTAGATTTGACTTGGAACGAGATAATTCACTTGCTGGATGCAACCAAACTTTCTCGTTTCAAGTAAACTTATCTTTTTACGAGCAGGAGGAGGAGTCGTGAGGAACACTCCACGTAGCTCCTACCAAAACGCATCGATGCTGCCTCCTCTATGAGGCTGCCTTCTCGAGGATAACCAAACGGATTTACTTGGATTGCAACCGCATCACCGGCGACAATCTGGATAATTACCACAAAGCTGCCGGCTCAACGTCCGACGACAGAGGTAAAGTATATCTGCCCGCAAGTAAATACCCTGTGCCGTAAGAGACTCTGGCGCGCGATACCAACGCAGTCCGACGGACTTCCCCGCACGGCCCCGGGCCCGCCTTGCTTCTGACCTCGGGCAGGCGTTCGTCTGGTACAAATTGAAAGCCGAGTGTCAGCCCGGAGGGCGGGGCGGGCTCTCTCTGTAAACACGTGCAGCGATAAATGCCCGTCGCGGTCGCTTTTATTGCCGGGGGCTCCGCGCCGCCCTGAGAGCGCTCTCCCGGGAGGGCGGCGCCGGGCTCGCCGGGGTTGGCAGCGCGGGCAGAGAGCTTACCGCGACCGCCTCCAGACCGCGCCACCCGGCGGCACGCGGCCAGGCGCTACGCCACGCCATGGCGCGCGCGCCCGCCGTGCCATCTCTCTGCGTTTTACGGCACTACAACGACGTAAGAAAACGCTTCGCCGCCTGACCGCCAGACGGCGCCAGGCCGGCCGGCAAATGCCGACCTCGTCCGCTAGATCGCTGCTCGATCGCTTGGCTTGATCGCGGACGGGTGCCGCCGCGGCGGAGCGCCCCGGCGCCTCGCCACCACCGACTGTCGCGGCGGCGCCCAGCCAACCAGGAAGACGACGGCGACGATGGGCGATGGGGTGGACGCCGTCGCGGAAGGCGGAGGGCCGTTCCCGTCGCACCTATTGTCCGCAGAGGGGCGGAATGGCCCACCACTGGGGCAAACGGCATACATTGAGGGCATGGGCTTTTGTCCAGAGCCGCTGGACCAGGCATGATGCGCCCTCACCTCCAGCACACAATACAACTCTCTCTCTCTCTCTCTCTCTCTCTCTCTCTCTCTCTCTCTCACACACACACAGTTACAGCGCATCTATAGAAATGGCACGAGCAACAAAAGCTCGGAGAAACGAGATCAATAGGATTTATTTGCGTTGGACAGGATTTGAAAACAGCGTCGTGTCGTCTAGATTAGAAAATAAATTCATGTACACAACGACTAATTTACAACTAAGGGGTTGAGTAGCTCATTTAAAATGTTTAGAGCAGTTAGCGCAGTTACAAAGATTAAAACTGCTGCAGGCCAGGCAATAAGTCTCAGATCCTTTACTCAGGCCTTTACTCAGTCCTTTACTCAGCCCTTTACTCAGTCCTTTACTCAGCCATTAAACTTAAAAATTCCTTCAGTGCCCTTAAAGTTGTGACGAAAAGCACCTTTGATTTTCCAATGGAGGCCTCAAAGCTTCTGGGTAACCGATTGGAAAGTGCGAGCCCGGACTACGGACTAGAGTCTTAAATGACAACCACGATGGGGAGTGGCCTAAGGTCGGAAAAGGCTTTCTTCATCTTCACCCCTAGGCCGTTCGGTTACACGTCGGTGTGTTTGTACAACTGCTTCTTTTTCCGGTTCCCGCTCGACCGTCCCCCCCCGTGTGGAATTACACGTAAAAATAACACGCTGGTAATCCGTAGAGGAGAAAAGGGGGAGGGAAGAGGGCATTAGGGTATCGCGTCTCCTCGGTCGCCATAATGGTTGGGAACCTGGGTAGATTTCTGTAAATAAATACACACAACACCTCCCATAGCGACGCCTTGCGCGCGGCGGCGCATGCGACATTGTAGTGAGCGAGATCCCGTATAAACGCAATAACATGTTTGCTTCGTCTTCCTCCCGCCACCGAGGTGAAATTTCCCAAACGGTTGTCAGTCGTCGAAGCGTCGTCGCTTCGGGATCGAGTTTGACTTCCGAGTCGTAAAAGCAGCCGGCCGTGTGTCGCAGCTGGGGGAGGACCGCGGCGCAGGCGCGCGGCCCCGCCGCCGACCGGCGACCAGGCAGAGGCAAAGGGGGCACAAAAAAGAAAATACCAAAAAACAATAACACTCCAAACTACTACGAGTTCGACATTCCGCGATTTTTATTCAGCCATTCATTGGGTCATAGGCGCTCATCAAGCGCGCAGCGAAGAAAGAGAAAAACAACACAATAATTATTGCAGTAATACTAATAACCTAAATCACCAGGACTGCTCATTGGTTGTCGTTGTTTGCAGTTAGCGCGACGATGGCACGCCCGCCCCGGCCGTGTTTTTGGCACTGCGCGCCGGCGCGCTGGCACGCGCCAACGCCTAGTCAGCTGCACACACCTTTTACAGCCACTTAAAAAGCCATTCGTGCACATTTTACAGCTGCATTACAGACGGCCCCCGGCCCGGGACTGGCTGCCGTGCCGCGGCCACACCGGCCGCTTTGATATACCCCCCGTCAGCGTCCCCCGTGATTGTAAACTTATTACGGTATTTGTTTGTCTCGAACGGCTTGAATGGATTTGGCCGAGGACACTACTAGCTTCGCGGTCGCATTACGGCCCATTCTCTTTCCTTCTCCCTCTCTCACCCTCTCACTCGCTCCGTGTTGCCGCTGTCTTTTACGGCGTCGGACCACTAAATGCATGCCTAATCACCTTTTACCTGACCCGACCACTACTTTAATCTGCTCGATGCCTTTCGCCCCGTCCATGAGTGTGTATATGTGTCTGTGTGTGTGTGCGTGGTTTTTATGTGGCCACTACCGCTATCTCGTGTTTTATCGCGAGTAGTCTTGCGGACCGCCAAAGGCCAGGGCGCGGCGGGTAGCGGTGCGATAGGCTGGCGCGCCCCGGCCCCCCGGGTCCCCCGGTGCGGGTGGGACGGAGACCATTAGCCCCCGCACATCCGTTGTCACGTCAAACGGCTGTATTAGTCGACGAACAACGACCTTAAAAAAAGAAACGACCGGCACGCGTTGAGGAAAATCGGCGGTTTTGCTGGTGGAAAAAAAAGGGGGCAGCGGTACTGAAAATGCAAAATAGAAGAAACATTGTTTCGGACGGGACGAACGGCGCTATTTATTTATTTTTCTACCATCGGAAGGGGCAATTGTCGGCTGACTTTGAGCCTAGTTTCATATCCACACAGCAGCAACAACAACAAAAATATGGTGGAACGGTCCATGAAGGCGAGCAGTATAATGCTAAGAACGCCTCGCAGAAGGGGGGAGCCCGGGGTGGGGGAGGGAGGGGCTGCTAGTAGATGCTTTTGGCGAAAAAGACCGTCATATCAGTTGGAGTGCCAACAAAACGCCGCAATACCGTTGCTCCACAGGCGTCATTTTCGGGCCAAACGGCGAGGAAAAATGCGAAGGCAAGGGCATCGTAAGCACCCAACGGCCACTAAGAAAAAGTAGCAGCGTCGACGGCATTCTAAAAATGTTGGTGTGAAGAAGCCGGAGGCGCTGGTATACGTAGAGTGTGCTGAGAAACACTATTATTTTTACTGTTACTGATGGCGCTTAAGCGCTACGACTTTGCAGGCTCATTATTATAAGTATAGATTCACTCTTCCCGTCATTTATGTGTTTTCATGAGGCAGGTGGGAACATGAAAGAAAACTACACATTTTTCAAAGTGCGATTAACTTTGGGAAAAATTCTCAAGGCTACAGTTCGCGACGTTGGCGTGAACAAAAAATTTTGCTGTCACCGGTAGCACGGGTGTTGGTGTTTCTTTTGTAGCCGGTGGGGCGGTACAGCCCGAGCGCGGGACTGCGGTGGCGGCGCGGGGCATTGTCTTGGTGAACGCGCTGTACCCGCACCGCGCCGAGGCCGGCCGACCAATCAGGTTGCAGTAATGGCGGCGGCCAGGCTCGCGCGCGCGGCCGCTAGATCGCTCTGACTCCGCAGTCACTGCGGCAGCGCGGCGCAGCCAGCCCAGCCCAGCGCAGCCCAGCGCAGCCCAGCGCAGCCCAGCGCCCGGGCAGCGTTGCCGCTCAGGATGCGATCGTTCGGGATTTGTTTATTCATTTCATAATACAAATATTATTTATTATTTACTTTTCTTTGCCTTTTTATTTTGCAGAGCAGAATGAAAACGCGTTGCAACGGCTTCAGCTGCGCGAGATATTTCACCGACGCACTACTGATCCGGTCGTAGAGGGACGTTGTGCGGACGTGTCAAATGGCGCCGTTTGCGGAACTATGATCGCACTATAATTGGGCCATCGGTTTCGCTCGCTCCACTGTAACTAGCGATAAACAACACTTGACCCGTCAACTTACGAGGAGGCTGGGCGATTTCTGCGCTCGTCTAGTTTGACCTTTCCCGTACTCTGTAGAGTTGTGTCGGTCAGTGAGTATCTCTCTGATAAGGACACGACTCGCTCGCCCTGCCGTTCGTGACCCCATACACCCAGAGAGGAATAATAAAAATTCAGTTTCAGCTTAAAGTCCAAACGGCGAGATATGGCAGCGATAATCGATTCATTTAGAATGTTTTTACGATTCCTCTTTCACTAATAGAATGATGCGCCACTGAGCAGTTCTCTTACACTGTAAAGAATCTTACGGGACTTAAAAACAATAAGCCCTTGACCGAATGTGTGACGGAGTAAAGGGCACTCTATTTAGCTCGGACGTAACGCCTTTAGCGTATAGTTTGTGAGACCACAAGTGAGGTTGCCTACTTTGCTATAACAGTCTGACTCACACATTCTTGAGAAAACGACAGTGTAAAGGCGTCTTGTTTTCCATTAAACCGCCGGTGGAAGAAGTCAAAGAGGCAGCGACATCTCCGGACGATAAGGAGATCGAGATGAAATCGATAATGGGGCATCATCGACTTGTTTGATTTCGGTTTCCCATGACATGGGGATTATAATAACATTCGTCGGCAGACACGCTACTAAAAAAGCCTGAAGAGGGCGCTGCCACCTTCTCGAGGAATGTAGTCTTCGGGAAAGTTAATCGCTCACTCCCTGGCTTTGTTTCAGAAAACTGAAAAAAGGAAAAGAAAACATGATACCAGAAAATTGTTGAAAAGTTATTCCAGCGAATTTTTGTACAATGCAAAGTGTGCTAATTAGAGAATTACAGTAAGGGAGAGAGGAAGGGGTAGAGAGAGAGACAGGGAGGGTGGAAGAAGAGAGAAAGAGAGAGATAGAAAGAAACAGAGAGAGAGAGAGAGAGAGAGAGAG